CACAATATTTCCTAATGTCATTTGTACTAAATCATTCACTTGTACTCACTAAAGGAGAGCTTGAAACCTATGTACTTGTGTAAACCCTTCACAATTAATGAGAACTCTTCTATTCCGTGGACGTAGCCAATCTGGGTGAACCACGTACATCTTGTGTTTGCTTTCCTATCTCTATCCATTTATATACTTATCCACACTAATGACTGGAGCAATCTAGCGAAGATCACAAAAAGCGACCGTTTTCGCTACCTAGGATCTATCTTGCAAGAGAACGGAGAATTAGATGGAGATCTCAACCATAGAATACGAGCTGGATGGATGAAGTGTAAGAATGCATCCGGCGTGTTGTGTGACCGCCGTAGGCGACTGAAGCTCAAGGGAAAATTTTATAGGACGGCAATAAGGCCAGCGATGTTGTATGGCACAGAATGTTGGGCGGTGAAGCATCAACACGTACACAAAATGGGTGTAGCGGAGATGAGGATGCTTCGTGGGATGTGTGGGCACACGAGAAAGGATAAGATTGGGAATGAGGATATCCGAGGTAAAGTAGGAGTAGCCGAAATTGTAGGAAAGATGAGAGAAAATCGGTTCCGGTGATTTGGACATGTGCAAAGAAGGCCGAATGACGCTCCGGTTCGAAGATGTGACTACGGGACAGAGGTTCAGGGCCGAAGGGGTAGAGGAAGACCTAGGAAAACTTTGGAAGAGACTCTAAGAAAAGACTTAGAGTACTTGGATCTAACGGAGGACATGACACAAAACCGAGCGCAATGGCGTTCTAGGATTCATATAGCCGACCCCACTTAGTGGGAAAAGGCTTTGTTGTTGTTGTTGTTGTTGTTGTATACAAGTCTGATGAATGTGTCTGGTTGGTCAGTTTTGATGGATACCAATATTCAGACCAGACCTCCTCAAGGTGGAGAACCTCCAATGGAGGCAGGTGTTGATTGGAGGAGCCAATTACAGTCAGAGTCAAGACACAGAATTGTCGCCAAGATGTATGTTTTTATTACAAGTGATATTACGAATCCAAGCTATATATCTACCAAGGTTAGTACCTGGGACGCAGTATGTTAACAATAAATCGTCTAGAAATTATGGACTTTGTTAAGGGGAGATAAATTTAATGGCAGAATATCCTTGTTACTTTTTTTAGCTGAAATGTTTAACCCTCGTACAGGAAGTCTGGAAATAGAAAGAAAAAAAAGTGGTACTAAAGCATGTTATGTATACTGCTTATCGTTATCGAGTACCCAATTCTGTTTTTTATTAGAAATTGTAACGAGTTCCATTTGTGCATAAATTCCAATACTTTTAGTTTGTGACGTATTGAATCTATTGCATACAAAGAATTGAAACGATGGTGAGGCACATTCCCTTTGATGGTCCGGAGGGATTACGTGAACTCGAGAGGATTGCTGTAACATTTGAGGAAGAGATATATGTTTCTGAAGAGGGCTCGTACAAGTTGATAAGGTTCTTGGTGGAGATGCTTTCAGATTCTTCTGAAGTTGGCGGAAAAGCTGGTCCAGAGGGTGTCAATGATGAAAGGAAAGAGAAAGAAGGTAGCTCTGGAAGCAATTTGGAGGACCAAACAACTGGTGATGAGGAACCAGATCTTAGTTGTGACAAAGTTTGAGTCAAATTGGACAAACTCACATTGAAGAGTGAAGTGCCTGAAATAAGCGTTGATGTGTGCACCTCTAGCACAGGAGGATTCAACAAGGACAGACAAAATAATGTATTTAGCGAGAATCATTCGACTGAAAAAGTGCAAAATCAGGAACAACTGCTCATGGAGGAGGTTAAAGCAAAAACTTCAGAACTTGAAGAAGAGTTGGAATTGGTAAAAGAAGCAGCAGATATGGCATTTGACGTCCATCATTCTGTTGAATTTCACCTTGAGAAACTTAATGAGCAAGTAGATGTTCGAAGGCACCACCTTGGGGAATTGACATCACGCCATCACCTTGGGGAATTGACAATTAAAGTTTAGTCTTTATTTAATTGTTCATGACGACTAAGTTCGTTGTATATCAGACTAATATATACCATTATAAAAACTAAACTGTAACGATTCATGTCTTAACACGCTAGATATAAATATTGCAAATGGTACTACCTTTGCCAGCATATGTATGTATTGTTTCATCTGTTACCAATGATTTTTCACAGGGAAGCAGTCAGAAAGCCTTTGGAAGCAAAAAAGGAAAGTCTTCAGGTGTCTGTATATGCAAACAACCCAAATGCTCAGGAAAAGCTCCATAAGCTGAAAGATTATGAACTGGAAAAAGAATCCATCTTATTTGAAATTCGAAAAAGGTACGTTTCTCGAAATTAAATAAATGCAACTTCTAGGTCATATTGTCTATGCTCCTGCTGTCTTCAAAACTTCTGTGGTTCGTGGTAAAGTTTGGGAATCTTTAGTTTTTAGAAAGTAACATAATTTTTTATTAAAGGTACACGATGGAGGGGATATAGAAAACTTTCTTGTATAAATTGTGATCAAAGATTGCCCATTGTCTGTTTCATTATCTTACTAATATTCAATTTCACAACTTCGCTTGCGTGCTTATTGGTGACGCATTTATGATTCTGTAGGAGGAGGAACTTTCTAAACTGTCAACGGATCTAGAGAAGCAGCCCAAGGTGGCATCTAGAAAGTCCTACATTGAAGGGGTCAAGGAGATCACAAAGAACAGTCGGAAGCAAGAAGCTGACATACAGCAGATCTTAAAAGACACCAGGGAGCTTCAGTTAGAGAGTAATTCTATTCAAGAACGTCTTCATCGGACATATGCTGTTGTAGATGAAATGGTGTTCAGGTACGAAATTCATTTACCATAAACTGTCCGTGACTTAAAATACTTGGGTTACGACAAGTCCATCATGGTACTTATTTGCAGGGAAGCAAAGAAGGATGCAGTTGGGAAGCAGGCTTATAGGCTTCTCACTAGCATCCACGAGAGCTTCGAACAGATTCGTGAGAAAATTATGGCAACTGATAGAATCCGACGAGAAGTAGGTGAACATAAAAAGAAGCTAGTGGCCATGGCCTCGCGAAGCTTAAATGTAGACAAACTACAAGCCGATCTTGATGCCATCAGGAGGGAAAATGATTATTAAGGCCATCGATGTACATTATTTGTGTTTTTGGTTTTCAGTTTTGAATTTACACACTGTAAAATTACTTGATTGTATTAATTTATCAAGAGGAAGCATTGAAATATTTGTACTCAATCCTGATATCCCTTCAGCATTTCATGGATGCCTGTAAAAAATTGAACTTATAGAGTAACGCTAAATAGACAATAGGCCGTATATTAACCACGGTTTAGTACCCATTTAACAAGATTCGCCAATAGGTCGTTTTCGATTTCCTATTTCAATGGTTGTGTTGAGCAGGTATTAGCTCTAGCTGTAGTCTCAGCAGGTGTGGCAGTAGCTAGTATAACAGATTTAGAGTTCAATTTATTTGGTGCTTTGATTGCAATTGCATGGATAGTTCCAAGTGCCATAAACATAATCTTATGGCAGTTGAATATTGTTATTGTATTTTGTAAGACTTCTGTTGAATATTACATTGCGTAGTGATGCGTGAAATTTATATGCATGTTTTACATGTTTTCAGCATATGCATTCATTAAATGGTTTCCGTCACATTCAGGTGTCGGCCAGCACGTGGCCATCCCGATGTCCCTCGGACATCGGGATCGGTGCGTGTCATGAAGCCATGACATGAATATTTGCGAAGTACTTTGTTAATTATTATCCGATTATGTCATGTTATATTCTTAATCTTTGTGGGTATTTTATTCTAGATTTAGGTTTCTAATGACTGATCACCTTTAAGACTTTTGCATCTAGATAGTTAGAAAAACTAATGAAAAAGGGCTTGAAAACTTTGAGTTTTAACGATAAGGACAAAATAAAGGGTAAAATGAATAGTACCAGGATTGACTTTTTAGTGTAAAAATGTGGTTTTTCGTTAAAGTGAACAGTACCAATTAGGTTTATTGGAACTAAGATTAAGAAGAGTAGATAAACTAGTAAGGATGACCAATAATATCAAGCTAGACTAGTAAGGATGGCCAATAATATCAAGCTAGTCCTACTTGGTTGGCATGATTCTTCTACACTTAATGGGTTTTTATGTGTTTAATTGTATGCCAAACCAATTAGGATATAATTATCATATAGAGATACAAGAGTTGATGTCTGACACAAATTAATTCATACCTTAGAAAGAACAACCTTTAACATTGGCATGTTAATTGGATAGTAGTTGGCTCTAGGAAAAGTAATTAGGATTGTTATTGGTGGATTCATAACCTTAGGTTTTCTTGTGTCATGTGTTTATTTTAATTAATTGTCTTTTTTTTTTCTTGCTGATTTTAGTCTTAATCAATTGCTCAATTATTCAATTAAATATATCATTTGTTTGTTTAATTAAGTCTAGAGTGATCAATCGGTTAAATTGGTGTTAAAGCAATCCCTGTGGGATCGACCTCGTATTTGCATATATTACTATAATTGATTTGTGCTCTTGCAAGTTTAATTTGATTTAAATTAATCTATTATTTAGGTTAGTTTAAGTACACATCAAATGTCACGATGAAATCTTTAAATTAGAACATGGTTAGCACTAATGAATTATGTGGTTCGGTTCAATTTTGGTTCAATATTAGGAACTGAAACCAATCTATTATTTTAGCTTTCAGCTTAGTTTCAAAACCACAAAAACCAAACTATTCAGTGCAACCCGGTTTAGTCTGTATTGTGGTTTTGGTTTTCGGTCCCAAGTACCCACCCTTATCAATGTTACGCAGTTTGGTGGCGTATTCATTTCAACTAGAAATTAGGAGGTTTTAGGTTTTTCTCCTTTAAATCATGAGTTCAATACTAATTTATAGTTGATTTATTGTGAGGTTTAACTAAAATCACCAATCCTCACTATCATTGTACAAATAAATAAATATAACAAAGACATGAAGAGATTTGATAACGCAGAAGAACTGTTATTGGCAGTCTAAAACAATTATTGTGCATTCTTGTAACGAAGTTATTAATGATGGATTGAGTGCATGATGACTTTCTTTTGCCAATAACAAATTCCTAAAGTGGATCGAGTAACACTTTTACAGAAAGGAAGAATAAGTTACACTCAAATGTTCAACTGCTTACACTGAAATCTGTAGGCGCGGCAGCAGCCAGCCACTGAGTCGAGTAACACTGGCATTCTAAAAAGCGGTGCCAAAAGGCCATGATCTCTTCAACCATTGTGTTTGTAGAGAAACATGTGTATACACCTACCTCAAGATAATAGAGGCATTGAAAGATGAGTAAGCATTCCGCCATATGGAAACCACAGCAGTGCATATGAGGGAAAAAAAACATCATCAAGGAGCTACTTTCATCCCATGCAGGGGGAATCCTATATGCGAGAGATCGCCGTCGCACCAATCAACAACTAGTAATTGATATGTAAGCGAAAACCGGTTGTTATTATATATGATGATACTGTCCTGAAACTTAAAGAAACAAGTAAATGTTAGGGGAGAAATTAAAAATAAGAGAAAGAAGAAGGGGTAGCACGGTTAAATTATACTGCTAAAAAGTAATTTAACAAAATCAAAGGCAAGTGGTGTCATATGTATACATAAGTACCTGAGTGGTTGATGTAAGCTAACATCGTTTGCCCTCTGATAATCCTATCTGTACAGTTCAATAGTTTTCTCTCTGGGCCGATGAAGTCCCACATACATTCAATCTTTATATAGTTGTTGACAAGAGATGAGGTCTGCAGGTCCCCGGTCAAAGTCCATTTCTGTCCAAAGACTTCAAACTTGACAGTCCAGAAAACCAGAGCACCATTTGATAATCCTATCTTTACAGCTTTACTCTGTTTGCTCGCTGCATCAATGAAACCGATATACCTGCTAGTACCATCAAATTGTCCTGACCTAGGATATGGTTGAATTGAACTGTCAAAGAAGGAAGACTGATATAAAATGCAATGTAGATAAGGCAAACTGAAGATAGAAAAAGCGAGAGAGAGTAAATTACAATTTAGAGCTGATCTGCAATGTTCCACCAGTGAAATCCTCCTTAATATAAATACAATCTAGTAACGCAACGTATGTACTGGCATTCATGCAAGCACAGCCATGAGGCACTCTTCAACTGTTATTAGATAGAAACATACCTACCTGAAGATTACAGTTACAGTGAAAGATGAGAAAGTTATGCCTCAAACGAGAAAAGTATGAGAAAGGGTCACATGCAGGAGAATCATATATATATCAGACTACAAAGAAGTCACTCCCCTCACATTCTCCTGTAATTTCATCGGAATTAGACTCTGAAACTTGAATTTAATAGGAATTTGTTGCTCAGGACAATCAGTTTAATAATAAATAAAAAAGTACCTGGCTTTTGTCTTGAGAGTTGAGAGTAGAGAGTAGAGAGTTGGAGAGAGAGAGTGAAATGAAGGCTCATATGATGATGACTTCTCCATCCATCTTTATGCAAGGAATTCGAGCTATATTTCTCCTATCTTTTCCCTGCTCACACCTCTTCTTCAAAGAAGGACAATTCTCAATGCTCATATATGATAGAGAGGCCAGAAAACCCTCTTTTGGCAGGAATTCAAGACTCTTGCACCCTACAATTTCTAGCTGTTGAGGAAATGAGGTGCTTAAGTCCCTTTCCGTCCAAAGATTTCAGATTCCATAAGAGATCCAGAGAGTGTGAAGAGTGGCAGGGAACAGATGTTCATTGAGCAACGTCTCCAGCAGATCCTTGTTTCCTTCGATCCAAAATTAATTGGCTCCTGTAGGAAGATTTCGTATTAACCACCCAACGTAAAATAAACTTAAAAGTAGTCATTACAAAACAAAGCACACTATGGTTCATGAGCAAACTTAAAAGTAATCATTACAAGTTATGACTGTTACTAAGATTAAGTTTTTTAGGGTGTCAAAGATTCGCCTCGTCAAAATTTTGTCGGAGATTTCAACCCAGTTGAAGAAAAAAGAGTACCACACACCAACAAATTACAAGTTATGACTATCTAGCTTGTATTAATTAAAACATCCAAAATAATGTCCAGGGGAATCTTCAAACTATAGCAACTCCGAGTCCAGATGCAACTTTGAATATTCTCTTGATTGCTGATGAAATCCACAATGGTGAGAAGAATATGCTTTAACCTCTCAGTTCCTTTGGATCACTTCCAGGAGATAAGATGTTCATTGGCCGCAACAATAGGCACAATTTCATTTAAAGTATGTTATATACATTCTTCTTTAAGGAGAGTAAATGGATGAAGAGTTTTGATGAAAATGTAGGAAAAGAACGCAGAGCTTTACCTTCACACGCTTTCTACTGTTTCGTTATAAATCGAAATGTGAAAAGCATGTTTTCTCTCAAATCCATTTCAATCGGATGCCAACTCAACTGCTTTCCTTTTTCATACCTCAGCTTAACAAGATACTCCTAAATTCAAAGATGAAGAAATTATTATTGATACATTTATCTTAGAAAACAAGCAAATGGAACTTAAAAAACAAAAGAGAGTGGTGGAACACTCAATTACCACTCATCCGCAGTGCTCAACATAAGAATTATTATTCCAGTGAAATCCGTAGCACACCAGCCAACCACTTATTCAAGTAATATCATTTGCTGGAATACCAACAAACGCAAGCATGAAGACACTCCTACAAGGAACAAGCGCGCTGTTCATCCACTTTGTTTGTACAAAAGCATACTGCACCCATTCGAAGATGAGAGTGACATCAAGAGAAGATGAAAGGGCATGTCTCTTATACTCAAACTATAAACAGCATATCTGCACCGATTAAAGGAGAATTATATACATGCCAGATAACTGCAGCTAGCACCATTCAAGGACAACCAATCGATGCATGTTTAAATCATTGGCTGTAGATGATCCTATCTTTACAATTCCAGAGTTGCCATCTGCATCAATAAAGCCGACAAATACGTTAGTCCCACCGTGTTGTCCTGACTGATTGCATGGTTGAATTACATTGATACATAAAGGAAGAACAAATTACACTAAGTGTTCAACTCCTTACACTGAAATCTGTAGGCGCAGCAGCGCCTAGCCACCAAGTCTAGTCGCAAGGACATCTAGCAAGCAGTGCCAATAAGCCAAGCTCTCTCCAACCATTGTGTTTGTAGAGAAACATATGTATATGCACCTACCACAAGATGACAGAGGCATTGAAAGATGAGTAAGCATTCTTCCGTATGGAAACCACAGAAGTATATACATTACATACACAAGTACCTGAGTGGTTGAAGTAAGCTAACATCGTTTTCCCTCTGATAATCCTATCTTTACAGTTCAATAGTTTTCTTTCTGGACCGACGAAGTCCCACATACATTCAATCTTTATATAGCTATTCAAGAGAGCTGAGGTCTAGAGGTCCCTGTCCTGGAAGGAATTGCGAGTGTGGGGGCGTTGAAAGTCCATTTCCACCCAAAATATTTCAAAATTGACAGTCTAGAAAATCAGAGAACCATTTGATAATCCTATCTTTACAGGTTTGCTTGCTCGCTGCATCAATGAAACCGATATATCTGTTATGTCGCAAACGAGACAAGTATGAGACAAGCATCATCCAGGGTTTTACCTTTTGTCGACCCCAAGTAGTTCCACAGTATCAGACTACAAACAATTCACCCCCCCCCCCCCCCACACTCTCCTGTAATTTCATCAGAATTAGACTCTGAAACTCTAATTTAAGCTGGAATATTGCTGAGGACAATCAATTTAATAATGAATACAAAAAGTACCTGGCTTTTGTCTTTAGAGTTGAGAGTTGGAGAGAGTGAAATAAAAGCTCACAAGATGTTAACTTCTCTATCTATGTGTATGCAAGGAATGCGAGCTATGTTTCTCCAATCTTTTCCCTTCTTGTTCCGATACCTCTTCTTCAGAGAAGGGCAATCCGTGATCGTCAGAGAAGAAAGAGATGCCGGCAAACCCTCTTTTGGCAGGATTTTGAGACTCTCGCACCTTTCAATGTGTAGGTGTTGAAGAGAAGTGAGGTGCTCAAGTCCCTTTCCGTCCAAAGATTTCAGATTCGATACACCAGAGATCCAGAGAGTGTGGAGAGTGGCAGGGAGCAGCTGTTCATTAAGCAACGCCTCCACCAGATCCTTGCTTCCTTCGATGATCAAAAATCGTTGAAGAGAGGCAAGTCCTTGCAATCTCCACTCCACTGAAGGCCTCAGTCTCTCACAGTTATCGATAGATAATGATTGCAGGTTGGGAGGCAAACCCCCTTGTGCAAATGACACCACATTTGGAAGACGATATATCGACAATTCTTGAAGGGCGGTGAGGGTGTGCATGCGATCCGGCAACAACTTCAAATTCTTGCAGTATCTGACTTCAAAGGAAGTGAGGTTGGGAGTGGGCAATCCCCCGTCGGGAAAAGAGACAAGATTTGGACATTGGAAAATATACAGGGAGTTGAGATGGCTGAGATTTTCATCTGCTCCTCCTTCAACGGAAAGGGATTCCAGATTCTCACAATTAAATAGAAAAAGAGATGAAAGGTTGGGGAAAATGCCCAAAGGGAACGACCTCAGAGAATCACAGCTCATTATTAGATCCAAAGACTGAAGGGAAGTCAATTTGGCCATCATCTCTCGTGATAGGAATTCTAATTTCTTGCAACCGAATATGCGGAGTGACGTCAGCGTGGTGGGCAGACCATTTGTAGGGAACGACAAGAGTGAGGAACATTTAGAAAGACTCAAATGTTGAAGACGATTGCTGTTGTGCACCATTTGCGGCAACCACTCTTTCTCACCAACACTATCAATACCAAGCTTCAGAAGCGACGGCAGCATCTCCGTCGACTCTAGTAACAATGAGAGACCCGGGCATTCATTTATTGCCAGTTTTTCAAGAGATCCTCGTAAGGATTCCGCGTTCAGGGTATTGCTGTCCCTGTTTTCATATAGAACCTCACACTTGGACACATCAAGTGTTTTCAAGGAAGGAAGATGAGTGGGCAAGTTTCCTCTCAGCTTCGGACACCAACTTAACCTCAGCTCCTTAAGACGAGGAAAGTCTGGACTTTCACCTCCACTTGGACTAGGCTGCCATTCCTCCCACTCTGGCATCTCGCTAAACTCTAGCTTCTCTAAACATTGAAATGGTTGATTTCCTCCATACAACTCAACACCAACACTCGTAACAACTTTCATCCTTTCTACGCAGAGCTCTTTCAGAGCAGGTAGCTGACCAACTGGTGGCAATGAACTACAATTACTACAATCACTGAGAGATAGCACTTGTAAGTTGGAGAAGGACGAGTCTCCCACCCAATTCGGGAAACTGATTCCGCCATAACACCTGATGGTTAGCTTCACCAAATTTACCGAGGGTTGTAGTCTTTCGAGTACATGTCTCTCTTTTACGGATTCATCGGAAACTTCAGGACCCCATGACAACACTACCTCACTGAGATCTTTCTTATCCTTCAGCGAGGCATCAATAGCACCGACTACATTTTGCAGATTCAAGATAGAAATTTTTCCTCCAAGGTGCGACAACTCCCTCAGTTCTGCAATGCTTGACCCAGTAGATTTCCCCAACACAAAAGCTGTCAGTGTTCTCAAACTTTTTAATCTACCCATATGCACAGGCATCTTTTTTATGCAAGTCCCACCAATATCAAGATGACGCAAATGAATCAATTTCCTCATGTCTGCAGGCAATTCAACAAGAGAAGAACAACCTTTCAACAACAGAGTTTGTAAATTGTAGAGGGTACACATTGTATCTGGTAACCTTTTAATTGTCGTATAAGAGAGATCAATGTAGCGCAAATGTATGTGGTTACCAATGGAATCAGGTAAGTGAGTGATGTTTTTGTATCTTGACAATGAAAATGCCCGTAAATATTTTTGTGCTGGTAGTAAATCATCTAAAACCTTATTGCTTACATATCCAGGATACTCGCTACCAAATGGTGCTAAAGACACTGGAAAGAAGATACGCAAACACTTAACTCCTTTTAACGGCTCAAATTTTGAAGATATATCAAATTCTTCACTCATATACGACAAGTGGCGAACTCTTTCAGGAACTTCATGCGAATTTTTCTGATCCAACCTAAAACAAAACTTTCTAGACACAAACATAGCCAAGTCATTGATAAGATCATGCATTGTGAAACTTGGTCGATCCAGTCTTGGTCTTTGAAATAGTGATCGTGATAACAGTTCATCAAAGTATCTTTCACCAACCTCCTCGATTGCTTTCTCGTTCTTTGCATGTGGAATTAAACCTTCTGCCATCCATAGTAGTATTACATTTTCCTTTTCAAATTCATAGTCTTTTGGGAAAATTGAGCAATAAGCAAAACATCGTTTCAAGTAAGTTGGAAGATAGTGGTAGCTCAATCTTAGAGAAGGAAGAACACTATTAGCATGTAGATCCCAAAGATTGCTATTCAATATGTGATTCCATTCCTTGTAGTCTAGGTTGCAACTTAAGAGACCCCCTAGCGTTTTTGCAGCTAGAGGCAAACCGTTGCACTTACGTGCAATTTGCTTACCAATTTCAACCGAGTCTGGATGTGCATCGGGGTTCTCATTTCTAAATGCATGTTTTGCTAGTAACAACCAACAATCTTCATCCGACAATTTTTCTAAGTCATGAATAGAAATAGTATTGTGCACGATGGATGCAACACGTCTACTCCTTGTTGTTACAATGACCTTACTTCCCTTTGCCCCATACGTGAAAAGAATTCGTAGACGCTCCCAGTCATCATAGTTTTCATTCCAAAGGTCATCCAAGACAAGTAAAAATCTCTTTCCCCTCAGTTGTTCCCTTAGTTGAACTTCAAGGGAATTCATCTCCAAATTGTCACAAGGTTTTTTGGTGATTTCCTCAATAAGGGTTTTAATAACCCTCAAACCCTCATACTGTTCGGAAACACAAACCCAAGCATTAGTATCAAAATGCTCTTTAACTTGTTCATCGTTGTAAAGGAGTTGAGCAAGAGTTGTCTTACCAACTCCGCCCATACCGACTATAGGGACAGCAGAAAAATTACTGATACTTTCATTGTCAAATAGCAGTAGTAGAGCTTTTAACTTTTCTTTATCTCCATCCCTTCCATAGGTACAAAATCCGTCCTCAACAACAGAGGTTGTTGGAGTTCTTTGTGAAACATTGCCCCCAACACCTCCTCTAAGACCGAGGTTATCTTTTTGTTTTGCAAGGTGTTCCAACTTGTTGAATAAATCTTCTATCCTACCATTCATGCCTTTATAATTAAAAGGTTTACAAGAGGTAGAAAGGAAGTTCAACACCTGGGTTTTCTTAGTCTGATCTTTCGCCTTGCGACGCGAAGCTTCAGTATCGATCTCATCCACCAAGTCCTCGGCATCGAACACAGCATGTTTGAGCTCGTCAAGCCAGTTCTCCACAGCAGGGTTGACGATCTGCTTCTCCTCTGCATCGTTGAGGACAGCTTGGATGGACATCAACGTCACCTTCAGTCTCTCGACGAGTGAATCGTTGAGTCTTCTTGCCCGGAAGAAGTCCATGAACTCTCCAGAGGCAATCTTGTCGTACAGCACCTGGATCGAACCGGAGAGCAAAGCCTCTCCAACCATAGCCATTTTCTCTCTTCGCGGCCAAAGGACTAATTTTGATCAAGTATCTGAAGTTGGGAAACTGAAAATTGTTCTTGGCAAAGGCTGTTAAGAATACTTCATGACCGGTGAAACGACTAGATAATTTTTTGATCAATAATGCAGTGGACCACACACGGCAAACATAAAGTAGTAATTGGTGGAGTTTGGAAAATACAGTGGAAAAAATCATGCAATATATTTGGATCTAACCATTTTTCCATATGATATGATCACATGGCCCCCACCATCCTCTTGTCACATGGCGTCGTCTTGTCACCAGTCTCCACCAGCGTCGTCTTGTCACCAGTCTCCACCAACCTCGTGTCATTATTTTTACTGTAATTCCAATACAGTTTCTTTTTTTTTTGTCAATAATTCCAAAAGTGTTTCGTGTGAGCGGAATTCGAATCTTGGTCGAATTTTTTTTGTGAGAATTTTAAAGGTTTGTGAATTTTATATGTTTATCGTATATTATGTAATTAAAAATTATTTTTAATATTTTTATTTAAAATTAAATATAAATAATATTTAATAAAAATTAATCGTACAAACACAATAAACAGACACGATTTATAAATCTTTCAGAATTCTCATCAAAAAAATTAGAGGATCCTGTAGGATGTGAAAATAAAGTAAAAGTTTCGGGCAGGAGTTGGATTCAATTTCTACAATTATTATTTACATTTTATATTTTTAATCACAACCACTTATTTTCTACAACACTCTTTACCACGTGCTATGGAAAAAAAAATTGAAAAGTTTCTTACTTTTTCTTGCTTTGCCTATATTTTCAACATTTATGGGACCATTCGTGTTTAGGATTTGGTTTGCCTATATATTCAACATTCATGGGATATTCTTGCTTTGCCTATATTTTCTTGCGTTAGCCAATTTTGAGTCAAGGTTAATACATGTTTTTGCACAAAACTAAATAAGAACATACTCGAGCTGCATACCTATATTGTCAAATTATCGAATTTGATGCCGCATAATTATACAAAAGTATACGTTTATCGCTCCTTTATTTAAATTAACAGTGCACTCCCTCTTTTACAATTAAATTTGAACCTTCATGTAGAGAAGTCAACAATATCATTCATGATATTTTGGATACCTAGAATGTATGCTAGTTTACTTCTCTGTCAAGAGTTCTTCTTTGTATAAATGTCTTGGTATCAATAGACGAAAATCACTTCCGCAAAATATAATATTACTCTATTTTACACTTCATTCTTATCTCTGTAATTTATATGAGTTTTATATAAATTATCTTATCATTTGTTAAAAAACCCACTTCATAAATAAATAGATGTGATATGTTTAAATGCAAATCTGTAACAAAAACAAAGGAAAAGAATAAGTACAAACGTTTATGGAAGCAAAGGTCTCGAAAACATATATACTCCACAAAATCTAGCACGAGATTATTGAGCCTAGATAATATAACCTCCTCCCCCAATACTAATATATAGCTGATTTAATTTGTGGTTTAGCTAAAATAGCCAATTCTCACTATTATTGTACAAATACATAAATAAAACAAAGGCAAGAAGAGATTTGTAATATTACAGAAAAATTATTATTGATACTCTAAAAAAATCATTATGCATTCTTTTAACGAATTTATCAGGAATGAATTGAGTGCACGATGACTTTACATTGCTAATAACAAATCCTAAAGTGGATCGCATTATTAATATTGCTTTTGGAAAGAACTTTTGTTATCTGCATCTTCTACATATATAAAGTCAAAAGGAAAAACAGGTGAAACATTTAATATTTTTTTTTTCCTAAACATTTAATATTTCAAAATTGCTCCTTTTATTAGAGGTTATATAAAAGTAAAAAAAAGTAAGGACATGATGGTAAAATCAGGCAAGGAGAGAAAGTGGAGTAAAAAACTAGAACGTGCTTAAAGAAGGAAACTGTATTTGAAGCAGGTGTTGTAGCAGTCTCTCATTCCAATTTCACTTCTCCCTTGCACTCCAACTTCTCCCGTTCCCTGCACTCCTCCAGTTTCTCTCTATAGGTCTTACTTTTCCATACAAAAACGGAATCGTTGCCTTTATCTCTAGATAAAACAGAGCACTAAAATGGTCAATCTCACAGTGCTGCAGAGAAATGATCCTTCATCAAAGAGGTTCTGATTACAGCCTCCCACGTCACCTTCTACGAATTCGAAAAAAAAAAAAAATCAAGAACAATCAAGGGGTTGTTTCCCTAATTGTAACTTCCAGTTCTCCGTTTGGTTGCCCAGTTTAAAAAAAAAAAAAAAAACACACACACACACACAATTAAATCTACGAACAACGGAAATTTGAAGCATGAAGTGCGAACCAATAGGTGGAAATGTGACACTGATGTTAGCGAACTTTATGGTTTCAATCTTGATAATTTATGCACACATTGGAATCAATACTTCATATATTCACTTATATTTGTTAATCTCTTGGCACATCTATACTAAATTGTTAACATGATCAACGAAGAGAATTAGTCAAATAATACACCCTATGAAAGTTACAATTTCTGATGTGGAAGTGTAGGCTGATGTGGAAGGCAACCCCCGTCACGATACTCTTCTTGCTGGCTCTCATGCCATGGTTGGATCCACCAGGAGTCCTACTTTTGAAGTGGGATTTCAATAACTCAACCGCCATTCTTACATCCGCAGTCCTTGGTTTTCAGCTCCAATGGTCCTTTGGCACTCGGGTTAGTCTGTTTTCGTCATTTTCTTCCAGTTACATTACTTTTGCACATGTTCTTACCAGCAAGAGCACGTTCAATATCTGAGTTGAATATTTACACATCTTCTTACCGGTAAGAACATGCGCATTATTTGAGAAGAATATTTACATAGCTTCTTACCGGTAACAACACGTGTATTTATCTTAGCTGAATATTTACGAAGGATATTACCATTAAGAACATATATTTCCTAGATTTTATTTTAAATTATTCCAAAATAGTAGACAAAGTGTTAGAAAAATGCATGGCATGTAATGACTTGTCTTAACAAGCTAACCCTCGCATCGTGGCATGCCATAACATGCCTCGCGAATTGTCGACAAAATGCATGGCATGTCATGACATGCATTATGCCGACAATTCGCAATGCTTGGCATGTTGTGGCTAAAAACAATGTTTTGGCGTGTCATGATGAGAGGGTTATCGTGTCATCGGCAATAACCCCACACATAGTCAAGTACCCGAAAACAAGCACGAAGACCATCCCCAACAGTGGTAGATGCATTGAGGGACTCTGAACTTCGGTGAATGTCTATGAATACCTTGAGTGCTACCTTTTTGAAGATTATAGTTGGCTTCATACATGCCCTCCAACTATTTGATAAAGTGTCTGAAAGAATAGTAAATAAAACGGTGATCTCAGTGAATAACAAAGCATCATCATTCTTTGACAAACATATTAATGGGATGCAATGATATCAAACATTGTTAGTGTGTTCAAGATAAGTATGTTTCTTTGTTAAGCATTTAGATGAGAGTAGCCTTGGAACATGTTAGTTACTGAAACACCCAAACCCCATTTATTTTAGAATAATTGTTTGGACCTAAATTGGTGAGCCAAGGGGCCCACCCCTTTTTTTTGGTCCCTCGGTCTCTCTCCTCTTTGCCCTTCCCTGTGTTCTCCCATTTCCCTCTCTCTCGAAATCTTATCTTCCTCACTCCCCGATCTCTCACCTTTCGACCCACACCCGAGAGCACCCACACTTGCAACTACTCTACTCGAAAACATCATCATCATCAAGCATTGTTCTGGTCTCTCTTCCGTCGCAGCGAGATTGGTGAAAGCAGAGAAAATGACCTCCGACGAGTTCCTCGTTGCTTCGACGATAGGTAAGCCTCGGGACTTCTCTCTCTATCTATGTACTCTCTATCCCTCTGTCACTTGAAAACCTTCTCATCCCTCCCTCTTTCTATTGCACTGTGATCACACACACCCACAGCTGCTCGAGGACATCATCATCATCTCGTCATCCCTTTCTATCTCGGCATGTGAGGCTGGACGGAGCCCAGGAAAACCCAGCAAACCCGCAGGCACCCAAACCTGAATTTCGAACACCATCGGCCGTTCCACGGTAAACCAAGGGTATAATCTCACTCCCCTCTCTTTTCTCTTTAATTTGATGCATAAATCGGAGCTTAGGGTGTATGTTTGTAGTTGGCTGGAGCTGTAGAAGCTCTGGTGTCCTTCTCCGGTTAGCACCCAGGCCTTTCAGGTCGTTTAGGACACCCACGGGCTTTGGGCCCGTAGACAAAACCCAGTCCATTTCTTTTAATTGTTTTAAAGGCCTTAGAGTCTTGGGCCTTTATTATTTAATTGAGGGTTTGAAGCCCCGCCTGAGGTGTGAGGCCTTTGGGCTGTGCTTGTGTTGTGTGGTGTGTGTGTTGTGCAGCCCGTGTGTGTGTGTGTGTGTGTTTAGCGTGTGTGTGTGTGTGTGTTTAGCATGTGTGTGTGCGTGTGTGTATATGCATGTGCATGCCGTGCATGTGTGTGTGTGTGTTTGGGCTTAAGCCTAAACCACATTTCTTCACCCTAAACCCTTTTAACCCAAAAACCTTAGAATTCTAAAACGCATTAGACCCTAACCCATCCAACCCAAATCCTTTATTTTTATTTAGTTCAAACCCAATCTTTTAGAAAATCCTTTTATTTATTTATTACATTTTTGTGCTTAGGTAAAGTTGCTAGTGGAAAAATTCTACATCCTTATCCGCGCAACTCTTCTGCTAAGGAATATTTATGAGTTGACCCCTTCTAAAATTACATGATTTTATAGTTTAATTGCATAAATGATTAGCATGCCTACGAGTTTATGATTTGATTTATGTGAAGCCTGTTTATTAAATATATTGATTTTCGTGTCGTGTTTTTGGTGAGGTATCAATTGTTGGCCTATATTGAGCTATATTTTGATATATCGTATTTTCTATAAAAACTATGAACTGGTAGACTATCTGATGGATGACGATAGGATGCTAGAACATGTTTTCGAAACCCCTCTTTATAGTATAGACGATGGATGACTTTATACTATGAAGTGGTTTTTTTTCAGAGGCGTAACTATTTATGCGTACCTAGTGGAGATGCCGCATAGGGCGAGGATCTGGTGTTGGCATTTAGGCCGGGAGAAATAATCCCTAGTTACGGGCTGAGGGACACGGGGCAGGCATTGGGCCGGAGTTATATTTATTCAGTGATCTTTCTAGCAGCACACCGCGCTTACGAGACGATTTATGATACGCTTATTGTTTTGATTTCCGCGATGATATTCCGTGATATGACTTTTGAGATATTTTTGGCATGCTAGGATTTTTATTAAATCCATCACTTTTTATGCTAATAGTTTTCATTATATATAAACTGTGGGAGTTAGTACATTGATAACTGTTTTATTATATATATATATATGAACTTGGTCCACTCACCTTTGTTTTGCGCCCCCATTCAGGACTTAGGATCATGAAACACCCCAACCCCCCTTTTATATTTTAAAAATAGTTTTAGTTCTTAATTGGTGAGCCCGTGGGGCCCACCTTGTTTTATTTTTTTATGTTTTCCCAACTCTCTCTCTTCCTCTCACCCGAGCTCCATCTCCTTCGTCTCTCTCCTTCTCGTCCTCCCATGAGCATACCCATCACCACACCACCTCTTCGACGTCAATGGCGTCATCATCATCATCATCAGTTCGTTCTCTCTCTCAGTTGCTGCGAGGACAACAAAACCCGGACAACTCCGACGCAGATCGCCTCTTTCGAGGCAATTGCCGGCCAAACAACGGTGAGTTGGCCGCCGTGCAAGGTATCAATCTCTTCGTCTCGTTGAGTACTACAACTTTCCTTTTTGTTTCACTCAATTTTATTGAGTATCGAAGAAGTTATAATCATTTGAATCTTACCCAGTTTCTGGCGACCTCCGAGGCTTTCGAGGCATTTTCCGGCCAAACCACGACGAGTTAGACATCGTGTGAGGTATCATTCTCTTCGTCTCTTCCAGGGCTACAACTTTCACTTTGTCTCGCTTGATTTCGTTGAGTTTTGACAAAGTTATGGCCGTTTAAAGTTAAGTGGTTTTCCGGCCGAATTTCCGGCCTTCTTCTTAGGCAAAACCAGGCCTTTCAGGCCATTAGAACCCCCTCGGGCCTTAAGCCCGTTTTGCCTCAGCCCAAAACCCCAGCCCGTTTGATTTTTATTTTTAGTTATGTTTTTTTAAAACCCAAAGGCCTCGGGCCTTATTTAGAATGGCCTTGGGCCGGTTTTTGGTTAAAGGGCTCTAAGCCCAGCCCTTTTAATAAGGCCTTAGGGCCTTTGTGTGGGTGTGTGTGTATTGTGAGGGCCTGCCTTTGTGCAGCCTCTGTGTGTGTGTGTGTGTGTGTGTGTGTGTGTGTGTGTGTGTGTGTGTGTGTGTGTGTGTGTGTGTGTGTGTGTGTGTGTGTGTGTGTGTGTGTGTGTGTGTGTGTGTGTGTGTGTGTGTGTGTGTGTGTGTGTGTGTGTGTGTGTGTGTGTGTGTGTGTGGGTGTGTTTGGGCTTAAGCCCAAATCCCATTTCTTCACCCTAAAGCCTTTTCACCCTAAAACCATTTTAACCCAAAAACCCTAGGTTTCTAAAACCCAATAAATCCTAATCCTATGTGTGTGTGTGTGTGTGTGTGTGTGTGTGTGTGTGTGTGGGCTTAAGCCCAAATCCCATTTCTTCACGTAAAGCCTTTTCACCCTAAAACCATTTTAACCCAAAAACCCTAGGTTTCTAAAACCCAATAAATCCTAATCTTATTTAACCTAAACCCTAATCCGGATTCAAGCTTAAAATCCGTTAAACCTAATTTGACCGTTGACCCCCGGTCAACGTTGACTTTAGGGTTGACTTTTCGGGTTTTCGCCCGGGACCCTTCTTAGGGTAATTCGACGTTCTGAATCCGTTTCCAAATTCCGTTTTTCCAAATTTAATCGTTTAAGTAGAGTTTGACTAAATGTACTTTTTATGTGCTTAGGGGCAATTATTGTGACGTTTCCTTCTTCGCTAGTGGCGCAGCTTTTGGCAACTAAGTACTGTGAGTGGACCCCTTCTAAAATTACATGATTTGATAATTTAATTGCATAAATGATTAGCATACCTACGAGTTTATGATTTGATTTATGTGAAGCCTGTTGATTTAATATATTGATTTTCGTCTCGTGTTTTTGGTGAGGAATTCATTGTTAGCCTAGTTTGAGCTATATTTTAATATATCGTATTTTCTATAAAAATCATGATCTGGTAGACTATCCGATGGATGATGATAAGATGCTAAGATATGTTTTAGAAACCCCTCTTTATAGTATAGACGATGGATGACTTTATACTATGAAGTGGTTATTTATGAGAGGCGTAAATATTTGTACGTACCTAGTAGACACTATGCCGCCTGGGGCGAGGAACTGGTGTTGGCGTTTAGGCCGGGAGAAATAATCCCTAGTTACGGGCTGAGGGACATGGAGCAGGTATTGGGCCGGGAGTTGGTAATCTCTGGCTACGGGTGCAGAGACCACGGAGCAGGCATTGGGCCGGGAGTTTATTTATTCAGTGATCTTTCTAGCAGCACACCGCGTTTACGAGACGATTTATGATACGTTTACTGTTTTGATTTCCGCGATGCGTTTCCGCGATATGGCTTTTGAGATATTTGGCATGCTAGGATTTTATTAAATCCATCACTTATTATGCTAGTAGTTTTCATTATTAAACTGTAGGGGTTAGTATCTTGATAACTGTTTTATTATTATTATATATATGAACTTGGTCCACTCACCTTTGTTTTGCGCCCCCATTCAGGACTTAGAATCAAGGCACCTAATCCCGACGGCAAGACACTTCCGCAGCAGCATATTTGAGTCCTCTCGATGTAGGACCCACTTCTTTATTCATTCAATTTTATCTCAATTCTTTTTAGTGATTAGGTTTAGTTGTATGTTCTGAACACATTCCTAAATTATTAACTCATTGTTTTTAAATTTCTAACCCTTATTTATTTCTTATTCTTAGCTTTTGTATCAATTAATGGCTTTCGTCACCCTCGGGTGTCGGCCAACACGCGTCGATTCTGGTATTCGGGGAATATCAAGGTCGGGGTGTGTCAGATCAAGGCACCTAATCCCGGCGTCAAGACACTTCCGCAGCAGCATTTTTGAATCCTTTCTATGTAGGACCCACTTCTTTATTCATTCAATTTTATCTTAAGTGATTAGGTTTAGTTGTATGCTTTAAGCACGTTCCTAAATTTTTAATTCATTGTATTTTAAATTTCTAACTCTTATTTATTTCTTATTCTTAGTTTTTGTATCAATTAATGGCTTTCGTCACCCTCGGGTGTCAGCCAGCACATGTCTATCCTGGTATTCGGGGAATATCAGGGTCGGGGCGTGTCAGTTACCCTCGCAGATGAGGCATTAACAAGTGTGCAGTATGCCTTTCCAAATTATTTCAGGCTTACTAAGGCTTGATGAAATAACGAAATGCATGTTATTTCTGGTAAAAAAGAAATTGTGCGCTACGTGCGCTATTCTTACTGATCTCCTTAATATTATTTCCTAGATCCGCCACTGATCCCCAACACTCTCCTTGAGCAACACATAGCTCTTCTTCATGATGGCAAACCCGTAGACGAGCTCGAACATAGAGACCACGAGGGTCAAGTGCTAGAGCGTGGTGATGTAGACATGACCGATCAAGAAGAGGAGAAAGATGATAATGTCGAAGAAGAGTAGCATAATTAATCTCTACTTTTGGAGAAGGAGACGGGCTTGGAGGTGTAGGGGAGACTATCCTCATTTTCATTTTAATTGAAAGCCTCATTTTAAGGATATATTAGTCATTTCATACAATTTTTTTGTTATAATTATTATAAATTAAAATAGTAGCTATAATTTTATGTTGATTGCAAATTTTAATTATTTTTCTAAATTTTCCGTAGCAAATCACCCTGAAGTAAATGACATAAAAATAATAATTGGTAATCAAGTAGAGTCAAGAAAGTAAAGGACATAAATGTAAATTAAGTAATCACAAAAAATGGTTGAGCACACTTGGAAAGTTGAGTCAGCAATTTTTGTCCCCTTTGGCTTAATTTTGTAATTCGCAACTTTCTTTCCATCTGGTCTGCCTGCAACTCTTAGCCTCAAAGTAATCGCTCTCGATCATCTGGATCAAGGTAAGAACATGTTTATATTTGGCTTTTTCCTTAATTCCCAACTAGTCCAGTTCTCAAGTAGATTTATAGTTGACTTCTTCTTTTCTTAACAATCGTGATAATTTCCCATTTTTTTATCTTCTTAGACATGTTTGTTCCAATTCAATTTTGTTTTTTTTTTTTAATTCTAATGGTTGTGTCTGGTTGTTCAGTTTTGATGAATACCAATATTCAGACCAGACCTCCTCAAGGTGGACAACCTCCAATGGAGGCAGGTGATGATTGGAGGACCCAATTACAGTCAGAGTCACGACACAGAATTGTCGCAAAGATGTATGTTTTTATTACAAGCGATATTACTAATCCAAACTATATACTAAGGTTTGAAGCTGGGACGTAATATGTTCGATATAAAGCGTCTAGAAATTACGGACGGACTATCCTTATTACTCCTTTTTAGCTGAAATATATTTAACTCTCGTTCAGGAAGTCTGGAAAGAGAATAAAAAGTGGTACTAAACCGTTTTGTGTATACTGCTTGTTGTTCTAGAGTACCCCAATTCTGTTTTGTATTGGAAATTTGTAACGAGTTCCATTTGTGCGTATTTACCTATACTTTTAGTTTGTGACTTATTGAATGTTTTGCATACAAAGAATTGAAACGATGAAAAGGCACATTCCCTTTGATGGTCCGGAGGGATTACGTGAAATCGAGAGGATTGCTGTAACGTTTGAGGAAAATATGTATGTTGGTGCCTCAAGTCAGGTACTTCAAGAACCCTTGGAGTTCAAATCTTTTTATGTTGTCATTACTGACATAGATGTTTTATTTTCAAGTTTATTTGTATTGTGGATGCTTGATAGAGTTGTAATCTAGATTATGTGGGGATCTCTTTTTCCAGTCGGATTATTTACGGAAAATTTCTCTCAAGATGCTCACCATGGAGACCAAATCTCAGACCGCAGTCTCCCACGCATCTCTTGATCCAGGTATGAACGCCAACTTTTGTTTCAAGTTTATGTGCATTACATTCTTTTCTAAATAATCAGTTAATTCAAATCTATGGTTAATTTATAGTTCACTTCTTTTCTTAGATTTGGTTTCACCAATTCAATTTTTTTTTTATATTTATATAAGTCTGATGAATGTGTCTGGTTCGTCAGTTTTGATGGATACCAATATTCAGACCAGACCTCCTCAAGGTGGAGAACCTCCAATGGAGGCAGGTGTTGATTGGAGGAGCCAATTACAGTCAGAGTCACGACACAGAATTGTCGCCAAGATGTATGTTTTTATTACAAGCGATATTACTAATCCAAGCTATATATCTACCAAGGTTAGAACCTGGGACGCAGTATGTTAACAATAAATCATCTAGAAATTATGGACTTTGTTAAGGGGAGATAAATTTAATCACAGAATATCCTTGTTACTGTTTTTAGCTGAAATGTTTAACCCTCGTACAGGAAATTTGGAAATAGAAAGAAAAAAAAAAGTGGTACTAAAGCGTGTTATATATACTGCTTACCGTATCGAGTACCCAATTCTGTTTTTTGTTAGAAATTTGTAACGAGTTCCATTTGTGTGTAAATTCCTATACTTTTAGTTTGTGACGTATTGAATCTATTGCATACAAAGAATTGAAACGATGGTGAGGCACATTCCCTTTGATGGTCCGGAGGGATTACGTGAACTCGAGAGGATTGCTGTAACATTTGAGGAAGAGATATATGTTTCTGCCTCAAGTCAGGTACTTCAAGAAGTCTTGGGGTTCAAAATCTTTTTATGTTGTCATTACTGACATAGATGTCTTATTTTCAAGTTTATTTGTATTGTGGATACTCGATAGAGTTGTGATCTAGATTATGTGGGGATCTCTTTTTCCAGACAGATTATTTACGGAAAATTTCTATCAAGATGTTCACCATAGAGACCAAATCTCAGGTTGCAGTCTCCCACGTAAGTCTTGATCCAGGTATGAACACCGACTTTTGTTTCAAGTTTATATGCATTAGATTTTTTTTCTGAATACTTGGTTAATCCAATTCTAAGGTTAATTTATAGTTCACTCCTTTCTTAGATTTGGTTTCTCCAATTCAATTTTTTTTTTCAAGTCCAATTAATGTGTTTGGTTGGTCAGTTTTGATGGATGGCAATTATCAGAGACCCCTTGAAGGTGGAGAGCCTTCAATGGAGACAGGTGATTGGAGAAGCCAATTGCAGCTAGATTCACGACGCAGAATTGTTGCCAAGATGTAAGTATCGTTAGAAGAAGAAAGAGAATCTGGAAATCTTCGAATATTATTTCTTTGTACTCCTTGGAGAGATACTGAAAATACAATAGTCTTTTGTTTGGGCAATGAAAGTACAATACAAGAGGTACCAAATCGTGTTATATATACTGCTTATTGTCAGATACATCATCTTCCCCAGTTATTTTTTACTGCAAATATGTAACTAGTTATTTTCCAATATTTTCGTTTGGAACAATTTGGTCGAGTTCTTTGTTCAGCGTGATGTAACTTTGTTTGTTCATCATGGTCAGTAACTTATTGAATATATTGCTCATTTGCGTGTACAGAATGGAAACATTAAAGAGGCACCTTCCTTTCAGTGGGGAGGAGGGATTACGTGAACTCGAGAAGATTGCTGCAAGGTTTGAGGAAAAGATATATGTTGCTGCCTCAAGCCAGGTTATTCCCTAACTCTTGGGGTTAAATATGATTTTTCATGGTGCATTACATATCGCCTATGTAGTTTTTCTTACATAAATGTTAATTTTCCAAGTTTTTTGTATTGTGGATATATACGTACGGGGATGGATTCTAATCTAAGTTGTGTGGATCTTTTTTATCAGTCGGATTATCTTCAGAAAATTTCTATGAAGATGCTCACCATGGAAAACAAGCCTCAAGGTGGAGAAACTTCAATGGTCACAAGCAATTGGAGGAGCCAATTACAGCCAGATTCACGACACAGAATTATTGCCAAGATGTAAGTGAGAAAAAGAAAGTCTAGAAATCATGTAGAAACAGAACTGGTTATAAACTTTTTAATAAATCTAAAACTTCGAGAGACACGTACTGGAACTAAAATAAAATAAAACTGGTACTAAAACTTGTTATGTATACTGCTTCTTGTCTGTTTAGAGTACCCCAGTTCTGTATTTATTAGAAATTTGTGACGAGTTCCATTCCTTAATTAGGTTTAGTCCTTTATTCACAGTGATTAAACTTTTGTTTGTTGAACTCTACCTCCATTCCTTGATCATGATCAATGACGTATTGAATGTATTGCATATGAAGAACGGAAGTGTTGAAGAGGTTCCTTCCCTTTAATGGTGAGGAGGGACTACGTGAACTCGAGAGGATTGCTGTAAGGTTTGAGGAAAAAATCTATACTGTTGCCCTCGGCCAGGTACTTCCAGAACTCTTGGAATCCAAACCTATTTGTGTTGCCTTGCACTGCAAATGTTATTACTTACATAGATGCTTATTTTTCAACTTTATTTGTAATGCGGATACTGGATAGCGTTGTAACTTAAGTTGTGTATGGATTGCTTTTTCCAGTCGGATTATCTACGGAAAATTTCTCTCAAGATGCTCGCCATGGAGAACAAGTCTCAGACCGCAGCGTCCGCAACACCCCCCTTGAACCTGAAACGGCGTCGTGTCTGTGCCTGACTTCCGTAGGTACCCATTTTTAAAAAAATGGTCCCCTAGAAAATGCAACTATGTATGCAATAAATGAATAAAACTTCACATTTCAGAGTTTCAGAAACCTTCAATATTTGATGCCTTTAAGTACGGAGACTTCGATATATACAAATCGATGCCTAATTCATCAAGGAACATCGTATTTTTATTTCCCCGATGTCTATTTACTGTAGTCTAAAATCAAATTTTTGGTGATGTCTTAATGCCTTTTTATTGTCTGTTTAGCGTCCCTTTTGTGAAACCGTTCTTTTTTGTTTGACAATTGCAAAAAACAAAGAAATTACCCGTATGTGTATTTTTGATTAATATTTGAGAAAACAAGTATTTGATTCTAATAACTGAGAAGAACAAATCATTGCTCAAGTCTTGTGTGATACTGCTAAGGGACTACCTTATGTTTGCTTAATTTGGATCCGGGTTTTATGTGCATTTGTAAGGAAGTTATGTGCTTCCTGCAAGAATCACGTAGCACTTCAAGTGTTTTTCCACGATTCTCTTGCATTTTTACTAAAGATTAGTTTTCACAAATTTTGTGCTTTCAGTCATTTTAAAAGCACTTTCAAACCAGTCTGTTTACACATTGCTAAACCTGCAAAAGTCACAAGACAGTTTGAGCAAGCATCGGCCGAAGCAAAGCTTACCGACATCAAAATCCATAGCTACCGACGAATAAAGTGTAGAATCAGAAGTAGAGGGTAGTACAACTGTTGTCTATAGACTGAGCACCAAGCAGCAGGCTTACAAAACCATTTTTGTGTGTTCGAGAGAGGATACCACAACCGTTGTCTAAACTCAACCGAAAGAAGAAGCTTTTTTAGCCCTTTTTTTGTGTTTAAGGGAAGAGAGAGATCAGACAGAAGAGACTAATTAAGTACAGTTTCAGAGTTAATTAACCAAAAGATTATATTATAAATCAATGTGGTGGTTGCAAAAATTTATGGCCCAAGTAATGAGTCACTTCTTAATTTGAGGGAGTGAAGAGTTAGAATAAAGGAGCATGATCAAACATTTCCATGGAATATGAAACATGGAAAATAGAAGGAAAGTGGGCCTTAATAGAAAAGTATTTCTCATTGATTAAAAACTGATTACATTGGGGTATTTATACACAAAAGTTAATAAAGATTAGTTACCAACTAATGTAACTAATTAATCATAATCTATGATTAGTTACAAAATAGTTACAGCAAACAAACTTATTCACTAAGTAATTGATGACTGTGTTGGTGACTTGGAGTCTAGTTGGCACTGTTGACTTGACTGAGGATAATGTGTGTCTTTACACCCCCTCAAGCTGAATGGAGGAGAGCCAAGTGAAAGCTTTGACCTGAGAAACTGAAATCGAGCTTTTGACAAAGACTTTGTGTGAATATTTGCAATTTGATAGTGATTGGGAACAAACTGAACTCTAAGAAGATAGGCTAAGACAAGTTCCCTGATATAGTGCTAGTCAATTTCCACATGTTTAATGCGAGCATGAAATACTGGATTGGATGCAAGGGAAATTGCAGACACATTGTGACACCAAAGAACAGAAACTTTGGATAATGGAAAACCTATATCCTTGAAAATCTTACATATTCGAGTGACCTCAGCAGATGTGTGAGCTAAAGAGCGATATTCAGCTTCAGTGGATGAACGAGCAATATTGTGTTGCTCCCTTGCACTCCAACTAATCAAACACACATCCTGCTCAATCAGCATCCGAGAAGGCAGTGAGATTGAGTGAACTTTTCTTGAACCAAAATCCTTCAACAACAGTCCCTTTGAGAAACCTTAATACTCTCTTAACAGGTTGAAAATGAGTATCTCTACGACAGTGAAGAAACTAACAGAGTTGATTAACAGCAAATGAAAGGTCAGGTCGAGTCCAAGTCAAATAATTCAATGTCCAACCAAATTAATATATATATGTGGATTTGACAATAGTGTTCCACTGTGATCGAGCTTTTGAGTACCAAGAGGTGTAGTGCAGGGTTTACTTCCATACATGTGTGTCTTGAGAAGTAGATCCATTACATACTTGTTTTGAGATATAAAAATGCCTTCTGAATCTATGTGTACCTCCAAATCCAGGAAATAATGTAAAGGGCCTAAGTCTTTAACTGGAAAAAAGTTGATCGAGCTTTTGAATGAAAGCCTTGTAGACTCGAGCATTAGGTCCAGTGACTAGTATGTCATCAACATATACTAGTACAATGACAAAAGTAGGCTCAAAGGTAACAAACAAAGAGCAATCAAATTGAGAATTGTGAAAACCTAGAGAGATCAAAGTTTGAAACAATTTATCATACCATGCCCTGGGGGCTTGCTTTAGGCTATACAAAGATTTGTTTAGCTTGCACACATAAGAGGGCTTTGATTTCTCAATAAAACCAGGGGGTTGTTGCATGAAAACCTCATCCTTGAGTGTACCATGCAAGCATGCATTACTGATGTCCAACTGATTCAAAAACCAATCAAACTGCACTGCCAAAGTTAAAAGTATTATGATAGTTACAGGTTTTGCAACTGGACTAAAAGTCTCCTAAAAGTCAACACCCTCTTGTTGATGAAATCCTTTTGCTACTAGTCGAGCTTTGTATCTATCCACAGTGCCATCTGGTTTCCTTTTAATACGAAAGACCCATTTACATCCTACCAGATTCTGATTTGGTGAAGATGGAACAAGAGACCACGTTCATGTGGATTGCAGTGCTTGAAACTCCTCAACCATTGCTTTCATCCATTGATCATTTTAGAGGCTTGTAAGTAAGTGATAGGAACAAAATTTAATGTATCAAGGGGATGTTTAGAACCTTGGAGCTTGTCAAATAGAGAGGTATGACATTGTTCGATATTTTACAAGCATCTTGAACAAACACTAACTTGAGCGTCAGAGTGTTTTATTACAAATGTCTTTCCTCCTTATTGATGGCAAGCGAAAGGTGATGTCTAGAACTTCTCAACATGTTTAAGATTACTTGCTGGTAGAGAATTAAAATACCCAAAATTTTCAATTCCAACAAATGATACGCGAATGAATGCGGTGTACGCATCTGCCAAATGTAGTTTTCATTGGGTATATATACAAGTGTAGTTTAAACAACTCAATACAATTTGAAATTGAGAATATTAAAATTTAGCCACTAGAGTTGGTCCAGTTGTATAGATGGGTTGAATGACGGATATGACGATGCTATATTCAGCTTCGAAACCTTCTAATATAATTAAAAAATAGTGTGTGATCCACCGAGCACTGTGAAAAATAAAATAAAAATGTGAGCCACCACCAACACCCAAAAAAAAAATAAAAAATAAAAAAAGATTGATTCACACCCCACTTTCTTTTTTGTGCACCTAAAGTTTTCTTTGAGTCAACCTTTTTGCTTCTTTTGGTCCTTTAAAGCTTTCTTTGCATCAGTCTGCAACTCTTATCCTCTAAGTAATCTTTTTCATATCATCTCTTGATCAGGGTAAGAACACCAACTTCCCTTTCATCTTTATGTGTATTAGATTCTTTTCTTAATATCCAATTAATCCACTTCTCAGGTTGATTAATAAGTTGACTTGTTATTTTCTTAGATTTGGGTTTTCCAGTTCAATTTTGTTTCTAAGTCTGCTGGTGTGTGTGGTTGGTCAGTTTTGATGGATCTCAATAACCAGAGACCTGCTCAAGGTGGAGAACCTTCAATGGAGGCACGTGATTGGAGAAGCCAATTGCAGCAAGATTCACGACGCAGAATTGTTCACAAGATGTAAGTATTGTTTGAAAAAGAGAGGGAATATTGATCATCTGTGTACTGCTTTTTTGCTGAATTGAATCCTTATGTAGATTTTTGGAAATATATATAAACAAAATCGGTTATAAGCTTTTAATCGAAAAAGAAACTTGGAGAGACACTGGAGTATTGCAAATACAATACAAGGGTTCCAAAGCTTGTTATATATTGTATTTTACGGTATATTGTCTGTTTTGTGTCCTCTCCTTCGATTTTTATTAGAAATTTGTAATTTACATTTGTACATGTTTCTTTAGCCGAGTCCTTTGTTCACTGTGATTTAACTTTTTTTTTGCTAATCATGGTCAGTAGCTTATTTAATTGTCAATTACAACCAGATCTGTAACACACGGAATTGTTCCCAAGATGTATGAGAAAATCAAGTCTAGAAATCATGGACTTCATTAGAGGGTAGAAAAATATTTACTGCTGTAATATCTTTTTAATTCTTTTTAGCTGAAATATGTGACCCTCTTACACATTGAAAATATTCAGAAATAGAACTTTGAGAGACGCAGGAAATAGAATAAAAGTACGATGGACACGGTCCCCTCGTATCCCCATGTCATGTCGTGTCTTATTCTGTGTCGTGTCTTATTTCCTTGTATTCAAACATTAATTCTTTGTTAATTTGACGCATCTCTGTGTCGTGTCGTGTCGTATCCCGAACGGTTAGGCAAGACTACGGCGCCCGGGTAAACATCCTGTTTACCAAACAAGACGTCGAGAGTTTCACTTAACCGTTCCCCTCCTGCAGCCAAAGTGTTAGCGGCTGTAGCATCCACCGGTAATGCATGGAAGAGGGTAAGCTTTTCTATGTGGGAATCACAATGTCTGCCGTGCAGTGAACCCAACCACTCGGATTTTGGAGTACACGGTTCATGATCTTGCAGATGCGGTTAAGGTCTCTGAACTTGAGAAAGAGATAGTTCCTCAGTCCTTGACTTAGTGGCTTACAATACTTGTCCTCAAGCCAAACAAAAAGCTTACTCAACTCGTAGTGAGCCCACCATTGGTTTCAACAGTCCGCGTTCGGGGACGGACAAGCTATAGCTATAGATAGAGTGGCAAGGAGAGATGCGTTATGGGACCGTGTCCATGCATCATAAATACTAAACCATGTTATGTATTTATATTGCTTATTGTCTGTTTAATTAGAGTAGCCCAGTTCTGTTTTCTATTAGAAATTTGCAGCGAGTTCCATTTGTGCTTATTTCCCTATATTTTTCCTTTTGGACAATGTGGTCAGTCCTTCATTCGCTGTGATTTTACCTTTATTTGTTGAGTAATCTGCCTGCATTCCTTATTCATGGTCCCTAACTTATTGTATCAATTGCATACAAAGAATGGAAACGTTGAAGAGGCACCTTCCCTTCCAGGGCGAGGAGGGATTACGTGAACTCGAGAGGATTGCTGTAAGGTTTGAGGAAAAGATATATGTTGCTGCCTCAAGCCAGGTACTTCCAGAATTTGTGGAGTTAAAATCTCCATTGTGTTGCATTCCAATATTGCATATGTCTATGTTTATTTTTCAACTTCATTGGTACGTATTGTGGATACTCGATAGCGTTGTAATCAAAGTTGTGTGTGAAATCTCTTTTTTCCAGTCGGATTACCTACGGAAAATTTCTCTCAAGATGCTCACCATGGAGACCAAGAATCAGACCGCAGTGTCCGCGACACCCCCGTCCAACCTGAAGCGCCATCGCGTCCTTCCTTGACTTTCGTAGGTACCCATTTTCAAAAATGGTCCCCTAGAAAATGCAACTATGTATGAAATTAAAAAAACCTTCAGATTTCAGAGTTTCAGAAGCTCAAAGATTACATATATAGTAGCAAGAAACAGATGTTTGTAATATCCATCACTATTCTGCCTCATTGACCTCATTTAGAAAATATCCATTAAACTTTGGTCATTGAAAACCCCAAGGAGTTGATATACAACATTTACTGGTAATTCTTCTTGTTCTGCTCATCGATTTATCAACCATGTAAAACTCATGTCTTAATTATGTGTGACTGGTTTTGCTTTTAAATGTGTTATCTTCGTTTTTTTCTTGCATCTCCCTTTTTTCAATTTGCTTTTGAGATCCTTCGAGCAACCATGGATATAATCCTTCCAATTTGCATTTTAAACACAACCATGGTACATAAATAGTTAATTTGCTTTGGTTCGTGATTCTCTTCTCTTGTATGGTAACATATATATAAATACTAACCACCATGCTAGTAATTTTTTTCGCTCACTTGTCTGTAAAAGCTCTTAAGTTTGACTTTCATGAATGATTAATTTGATATCAAATTATAGTTAACTCACTATACCAAATTATGACTTGTCCAAATTCCCTAAAATTCAGTAAAAATTTCAATATCAAAAATCAGAATCAGACATAAATGTACGAGAGAAAAAGGAATGTCTAATATCACTTTCCTATAAAAAAATTCTCCAAAAACTCTTTCTATATTTTGAGAATAGGAAACATGCATATAATTGTTTTGAGAAGAGGAAACAAGCAACATGTCCTTTGCCTTTACTCCCAAGAAACTCTTTTGTTACATCTCTCTATTTATTAACCACCACTCCTGTTCTCAAACCAAAATCCACGTCCCTCTCTCTTGTTCTTCTCTGTCTTGAGCGAGCAAGCATGCATCAGCCAAACGACGATCACAGATGGTGTCTGCCGAGTCAACCACCCGCAGTGAGAGTTAACCTCAACAAGTTCTTCGCCAACGCAGAGTCCGCTGACTACATGCTCAACGAGCTCAAGGGCTCCAAGTCAACCTTGAAGGCTCTCACGAGCAGAGCAAGATGGTGCTCCTAAATTCCAACGTCGGAAAGGGCCTCCGATCTCGCATGGATGAATACTTCTATATCGCTCTTGAGACGGCTAAAGTCCTCAAACTCCAACTTGATGCCCTCCACCTCTCCAACCAGAGCTTGCCAGATTGCAGACTCGGTTCGGTAATGGACCAGACTCGGAACTCTGCTATCAACTGCCTCCGAGAGAAGCTCGTGGCCTCCATGAACAGCTACAATGCTATGAGGCAGAAGATCTCATAGTATCGCGAGGCCGTACAGCTTACGTACTACATTGTCTCGGCTGAAAACCTCGACGAGAAAACCCTAGACAGCCTCATCTCTACTGGTAAGGGCAAAATCCTAGACAGCCTCATCTCTACCCGTAAGGGCAAATCCTTTATTTTGAAACCCCATTACAATTACGTAAAACAAGAAATTTTTAGAATAATGCTAGTCTAGCAACTAAATTTTTCGACTTAAATTAAAGTCTCACCACAAGCATCATGAATAAAATTTGGGCTTTTAGTAGTAGTGCTTATAATAATAAATTAGATGTTTAAATGAAAAATGTTAGGGAGTTCATCTTTTAAATCACGTTTTGTAAACTACATGATGTGGTAATAAAATAAGACTTTATGATTTAACAAGGTTCTAAAAGATGATAGGTGCTAGTCATGCAGCGGACTGGGGACTAGCGCCTAGGCAGTTAGGCAGGGCCTAGGCGGACTAGACGGATTTAAGTAAATCTACTATATTTTGTGTAAATAAGTGTCTACTTATACTTAAAATATATATAATTTCATCATAAACTACTAAATAGAATGACATATATATTATGAAGTATTGGAACATAATGAAAACATGGGAACCAATGATATAATGTGTTCATTTAAGTATGCAATAAGTCTTTTACAATTTATTGAAAAATAAATAAAATTCAAAATTAAAGTTATATATTGTTTGTCTAATTGAGTCGTGACCTAGGCGGGTGCCTAGGCAGTCTAAGCGTCATTTCTTAATTTTCAAACGCCTAGGCATTAATCGGGGCCGTGGCCAGCTGCCTAGCGCTTAGTTGCACCCCAGGTAGCGCTAGGCGGAAATTTTTAAAACAATGTGACTTAAAGAACCACATCATGTGGTTTAAAATGATGGTCTCGCTAGCGTTAACTGTTTAATATGTGTGTGTTAAAGTTTCAAATAATGGCTGAATTTTCAACATATGTTTTAAGAAAGTTGTCGAATAATCACCTCTTAACTCCATAAGAGAAAGTGGTCAATTTTGTTGTCCAATTAGCATTATTCAAATTTGTCACTCGCACCCACAACTATTATTTGTGGCTTAATTAATGATTTTTCATGCATTCATGCAGAGAGTGGGAAACCTTTATGCAGAAGGCGACCCAGGAGCAAGAGATGAGGAGCCAAGTCCTGGCCACGGTTCACGACCTGGACACGTTTAAAGAGTTCCAGAAGCGGCACGACCCAATAAAACACATAGAGAAGAACTTGCAGGAGCTGCACCAGGTGTATTTGGACATGGCTTTGCTGGTCGAATCCCAGGGCGAGCAGCTACGAAACGAGAGCGATGAACCCAAACAGAGAAAGACACCTGCAACGGAGCTGAGAGGCGTGAACAACGGGAAGAAGAAGCTGAGAGGCGTCAAGTCTTACCGGAAAAACATCCGCGGATTGCGTTGGTTTACATTGTCAAGGTGAAGCCATGGAACAATAAACGCCACCATAGGTTAAGACATAAGAGAAGAGACCACTATTAGTTGAGACATTAATTTTATTTTTATTTTTTCAATTGAATTGCAAACTTAAGTTTTGTATATTTTTTTTTTTTTTGTCAATTAAGTTTTGTATAATTAGAATGAAAGTTCTAGTGGAATTTTTATTTTTTGTGTTTTAAGATCTTATAGAGGTCGCACTTGGTGCGATGGCAAGTGTCTTCGCCCATGAGTGGTAGGTTTCGGGTTCGAGACTTGGGAGCAGCCTCTCCATAAATGGGGGTAAGGCTAGCCGACATTCACCTCTCCCAGACCCTGCGTAAAGCGGGAGCCTTGTGCACTGGGTACGACCTTGTGTTTTAAGATCTTATAAAATATTTATCAATATTTAGGCATCTATTTTCACTAGGATAATGCTTGTGTCTCCCATGGGGAACCTACTTATTTCTTCATTTATAATTAACATATATTTACCGTATCAACATAGAAACAGTCCATAATTTTTATCATCATCTAAAAATCATTCAATTTAAGGATCTTTAACAATTCATATGCATCAAACAAATGACCCGACTCATTGTGAGATACTACTTGTTACCAAAATCATGAATTGGTTTGACATGCATGGATGGCTAAACAACCTCTTAATTAAATGATTTTTTTTTAATATATGATCTTTAAATGATGATAAAAATTGTGAACGATTCTAATTTTAAAGTTTGTATAGTGAACATACGTGAGGAGAGAAGTTCCTCCAAAGTGAAACACAGGCGTTATCCCTTTCACTATTGGGCCAAAGTGAAATTCGCTCAAGTACCACATGATAAAAGATCATGTGTACATTTGGCGCTTGAAAAAGTTCAATTTATTGGAAAGGGATCCTCTCTGGATCCATTCCATCAAATTCATTAATCCGGATCTTTGAAATTTGATACAACCGTTAAAGTTATTATAACTTTTAAAGAGAGCCCTTGTTTTTAACCGTTGAATCAAATTCCAAGAGTACGAATTGGTAGATTTGGTGGAAGGGATCCGGAGAGGATCCATTCCCCAATTTATCAACCAAACTTTGGTGTTAATGTGCCTCCTCTGTTAAGTTTCGTTAGTTTTTCCGTTAAAAAAAAAAAAAAAAAAAAAAAAAAAACCTCCTGTGACGAGCAAATGGTGACGTTTCAAAGCCATTTTTGTATTCTTATCACTTTCTCTTAGTCACTTTTTTAATGATAATACTTGCATCCACTCCGTCATATTTATATTCTTTCCTACAAATAACATATATTTGTTGTACAAATTTTATAATTGGGACTATTTAATTCCATATTCTTCATTTGAAAATCATCTTTAAAAAAAATTATTAGAATCGAAGATTATTTAGTCATCTACGATAAAACTTCATTCATTTAATATATTTTGATGATTAAACGATCTCAGTTTTAATGAACTTTCTTAAGGATGATTTATATGAAGATTAAAAAATTAAACGATTCTGGTAATAAAATGGGTACGGAAAAAATACATTCCAAACGATACGTCGTTAATGTGCCAAAAGAAATGAGGTTAGCAGAGGCTTACACGTCATCTGCTTCCTTGTACTTTCTCAGCGCCTCCACAACAAAGCGCCCGCCACGGCTGTGTAATGTGCAGACTTTCCGGTCTCAAGACTCGAATGGAAGGACATTAAGATGGTTACTGTGCGTGGAGGATTGAAAAATTTTGCACGAGGAATGAAGAAAATTTTCAATAAAGGCGTCATGTGGTTGGACGTGATGAATCATTGAACAATAACTCGTTCGTGTGGTTGGACATGATGAATCATTGAACAATAACTCGTTCGTAAACGTGTTAAAACGCTTTTAAAGAAGATACATTTTAAACTAATCTTGAGTAAAAATGCAAGATAACCTTAGAATAAAGTACATGAAATGCTTCTTATGTGCTTCTTGCAAGAACTATTTCAAGCGTTTTTGGAACATTTTTCTAACCAGGTTAACAAAATACAAGGGACTATAATTATGAAAGAAAGGGACCCGCCGGGGGAAGAAAATGGTGAAGGAAGTAAAATTCTCTTCCTTCCAATCTCCTCCTAATTAAACGGTTACAATTTAACATCTTGTGTTTAACTTTTTTATAAAGAAACAAAAGGGGCAAGAGAAGGGAACTAAAAGGGAGAGAATTTCGGAGGAAGAGAATCCGACTCCGAGGAGAAAAGGGACATTCTCTAGTTTCAGAGGGTACATTTACACTAGGGGAATGGGAGTCATTCTTATTTCACATCACTCTTTTGTTTACCAAAGCCGGTGGAATCAAAACAAGAGCCACCTATAATCCTGAATCACATTCCACACATAACCATTGCTAATTGAGTTACATGAAACTAATCACACTTTTAAGATTTACTTAGGAATTCACTCTCGAAAATTCGTCATTGTAAAAGCGAAAGACGATTGTAAGATGAAAGTAAACAGAGAAGCCAATTCTCAATATACCAATTACAATCGTATAATTCGACATTTTCTCGCTATCATAATAATATACAGGTGAGACAATCAGAAAGGAAAAATGGGTACATCCCACCCACCTCTAAACACTATCATCCTCCTCAGTTTTTCCTACAACATTTTACTAAGTTCCATAAGCTAAAGACTCAATTTTCCCATCAAATTTTACTTTTTGAATTAAAATTTATTAAAAAAAAGGCTAAGAAAAAAGACGACAAAGACGAAAAAGACGATGAAACCTATCTTCTTTCAACTTCAGATGGTCATGATGATATTCCAAAAATTTCTGGGCAGCATTTCATATATACACTCAAAACATGCCACTTGTCAGATATAACCAGTTTAACTTGATCCTCGGAGGATGAATTGTTTGCCAAATGTAAAGGTACCTAATTCCAATTTGTCTGCGTATGTTGAGCCTGGTGATACGGAGCGGACTGGGGTCCTATCGTTTCAGCAGCTCCTGCAACAGCTGGAGACTGTTGTTGCAGAAATGTCGGAGAAGTAATTGTTTGCCCCGGTGGATACATCCCAGGCATGCCACCGTGACCAGCCTGCATAGGTGAGAAGGTGAGGCGCGGCCCCTGAGTAAGGTTGTACATGGAACTCATCTGCAAGCCGGACATATCTTGTCCTGGAGCAGGTATCCAAACAGCTGAGCCTTCTGTCTGCGAAAACATTAAGAGATGACAGGGGGAATAAGTAATATGATGATTGGTCCAATATAATTCATACAGACAACACCCCACATAGATTCATTCAAGCTTTGTTAGCATGCAAGGAAATTAAAAACTTCAAATAAAGATATGGAATCAGAGACCAACCGGCTGTCCAGTTGTGTAGATATGATTTTCCTTCAGTTGAGATGCTCCATGATCCTCATTACCAACCGAGTTTCCAGATGAAACTGTTGGGCCCGAAGCATAACTGCCAGCGGTGGTGATAAATGGACCACCAGATTGAAAACTGTATTGAGTCGGATGTCCAGCATTGGTACCAGGCTTGAGATGCGAAAGAGAATACTTAACACCAGAAGCAGCTGCCCCTGGTGGTGGCGGCTGTGGTAGAAATACATTCCCAGTTGAAGGCTGAGCAAAGCCGCCGTTGTGACTTAAGAATTGCTGCATATGTGGCATATAATATGGAGGGAGATAGTGGCCGTATGGGTAGAAATTAGGGGGATAAGTCTGCCTGTACATAGGAATGGACTGCTGAGAGACAGCTGCCGCGCTTGGCAGTGGTGGAGTTGAGTTCGGGCTAGGCACAGTGGCAGGATTGCCACCCTACAATATGAATTACACAGATCAGAAACATACAATAACAACAACAAAATTGGAAAGTTGCACTTCAAGTACAAATTTACTCTTAGTCGTTACTTACAACAAAGCTCGGAAGGCGGGGTGTTTCATGCGCTGGATTATTGTGTCCTTCCACTTGTAAAAGCTGGCTCCCCAGCATTGACGGAAAGATACCCAGATTATAGCTTGGGGCATTTAAAGCAGTTGGGTTCTGGTAACCTTCTTGTGGCAACTGCAATTCCTGCTTCAGCAGATCAACTTTTGAGTTTGTACTTGAAGATACATTATCCAACGGTGGTAATTTTTCAAGTGCATTAGCTAAAGACACTGGATTTTCAGAAAAATCTCCTTGAGCACGAGAGGATACAATATCATTGCTGCATCCAAAAATAAAAGCCAGATGAGTATAATTTCTTAAGAAAATAATTCCACAGTTTAGAAAGGGTCCTGCTATAGGTAAATATAAATAATTTATGCTATGGAAGATAAACCGTGATCAAAATATTTAGATAAAAAGTCGAACTTATGTTCTCTTATCAATTATCATTAAGCAGAAGACAAAAGCACATACATCATATATCAAACAAGCCAAAACAGACATATACAGAAGCAAAAATCACCAACCTATGAGAAGGTTCTTTAGCAGTATCATCAGTATCCTGGGAAGACTCAACAGCACCCATTGAGAAATTATCACCACCAGTACCCTTATCAGAGTCTACTCTCACTCCAAAAGGAGCATCGATACTTCCAAAGGTCAATACATTTTTCAAAGCTTCAGGCACTTGGATATGATTTGGGAAAGTAACATGTTTTGCAACTGAGATTCTCGAGTCACGAGGCAGTTGAGGAGTAGCTTCAACAGCATTTGTTGCAACCTCCGGTAAGGCCACTGTTTAAGAAACATAAAATAAGTGAACAAACCTGCTAACAGATAATAAACATAACGAGCATAGCAATAATTGTGACAACATATACTGAGCACACCCATAAGGATAGCAATAACACATATGATACACCTGCTGATAAAGAAATTGTTGACACAGCACATGCAAGGATACTAATTATGATTGACTAACAAAAGTGAGGGGGAAAGAAGGAAAACTCTCAAGTCTGAAAAAAATTTCCTTCAGTCCAAGGTAAATTGATGCTATAGATAGAGGGGGCCAAAAAACCAATCAAGAGTGTCTGGGGCCTTATGCAAGCATTGCTAGGGCATACATGATGAATGACTTTCAGTGAATGCAGCACATGTGAGAGCATCAAGACAAAATCAACTGACTAACATGTTAAAATACCTTTGGCAGGAAAAGAAGGATTTTGCGACTGTTTATCACCATTAGAAGGCATTTGCGACTGTGTATCACTATTATAAGGCATCAGGGCCATGGAAACACCATGATTTGACGGTAAATTGGGTTGTGAAGGCGTAATACCCCCATTGTTTTCAGCCACCTTGGAATCAATTGAAGTCTTTCCATTTTGCACAGAATTAACAGAGCTTGGGGTGGTTTTTTCACTCTTGGACAACTCCAAACCAACAGCATTACCAGAACCTTTTTTGGTTCCTTGAGTATGATTTGACATAGCAGGATCTGAAGCAGACGGAATGGTTGAAGCAGAGTCTAGTGTGGCAGAAACTGGGGGCTGGTTAGGTATTGACACAGACTTTTCATCATCCAGTGAACCAAAGGTAGGTGTAGATGCTCCAACAGCAGGACAAGGTGCTGCATCCCCTGACTTCTTTGCAACTATAGCTGCAAATCCTTCACGAACATTGTTGTCAACACCCATAGGGGATTTGGGGGAGTCACCATGAGTAGAGTTCCCATTTGGTAGGTTCTTTAGCCCATTTGGTGCGCCGGTTGAAGCTCTGTATAGAGAAATATATATCATAAATTAAGAGGAAAAATAAGACCTAATATTCTTCTCAAGCATGCAGTAGGATTAGGGTTATGGTTAGGACACAAAAGAATTCCTCAAAGATTAAAAAAGCGTAGTATAAAAATTTGAGAAAAGCTTACTTAGTGCCTGGAGCTGCAGCAGTATTTTTTGTTTTCTGAACTGGCTTAACAGGAGAGGACATGGGACCTCTATCTGCAAAGTTATTGGCCCCATTTTCCCTCCGAGCAAAATAATTCCTCCCACCACCGGCATCTGAAAGTTCATTTGTAAAGCAAGAAGTTACATCAAAGATAGAGCAGAAACCCATATCAACAACAATATCATCACAAAATCTAGATAGCAAGATATCACACAGAAAATATGTGTTAAACAGAGCAAAAGTTTACCAGAAGAAAAGTAAGAAGAATAATTCCCTTGGCCACCACCCCTAGAAACTCGCTTCTGTGTGCCTGGTGGCATTTTAGAATCTTCAGATGCTCTGCCCTTCGAGTTCTGTAACAGTAACAGCTCTTACTATAAACCAGCCTAGCTAGCTTCAGATAGTGCATGTACACACAAATGAAAAGACGATAGAAACATAATAACCTTTACTATGCTAAAACAGCATTAACATATAAGCATGCATAACTGGATGTATATATCCTTATAGAAGAACACAAGATATTTACCTCCTTTCTCCGATCTTTTCTGCTTTTGACCTCATGAAAGGTATCTGGGAACACAAACAATATGCTCATTAGTTTCAGGAGTTAAGTAACATTCGGTAGGTGTCTTGTGTGTGAAGCACGAGTGTTATGCATGACAACGCCTACAAAACAATGATGAGGAAGGACACAAGTAGAGATGGACAAGGCAATCTGTAGACAGTAAGACAACTAAAGGAATGATCCTACTCAGGCAATATGCAGTAAGACAACTAAAGGAGCAATCCGACTCGGACAATATGCATTAAGACAACTAAAGGAGCAATCCAACTCATACTTGTAGATACCAAGTCAAATTCCCTAAAGATATAAATATGCAGTAAGACAACTAAAGGAGCAATCCAACTCATACATGTAGATACGAAGTCAAATTCCCTAAAGATTTATGTGGCCCAAGCTAATCATGAATTCCAAATATTTCAATCGCTTACACCAAACACAAGAATGATTTAAATGCAAACTACTAATCATATAGCAAAGGTCTCAGTTATGTAGTAACTTGTCACCACAAAACTATTTCAGGAAACACGTGTAATATTGACAAAGTAACCAATTTACTATCACATATATGAGTTAACCGATAAGAATGTCCTATCAAAACCAAGGTGAATTATGTGACAAATAATACCACATCTTACTCGAAAATCTATACTTCACACAACTACTATGCAAGATTAAGATACAAAATAAACCAATTAATGAATTCAAACCCATGAGAACCAGAATGTGGAAGCACACGAGCATTCAGATGAGCCAAAAAAAAAGGCAGCAGCATTATGGGAACATTCCTAATGATCAATGCAAAAACATAGACATAACAAAAAGTTATCTTGCACCTTGACAACAATTTTCTTGACAAATAAACATTCTGCAAACAAAATAACATAGTACTTCTCATTGAATTTTTCCAATCCTTGTAAAGGGGAAAGCTAAATTTCTTGTTCTTACATTTCTAGGGTCAATTTCAAATCTTCAGTGCACAAACTAGCATAAAAACACAAACTTTAAACACACTCCCACCCCACCCAGTTCCTCAGCAGCCAAACAGAACCAAACATGAAAAACAACAAAGGAAGCTTCTTTTCGACTTTGTAAACGCTCTTCCCCTTCATAAATTTGAAGAAATTAATTTTCAATTTTCTATTTGTATCTTCGATCTTCTCCGAAAACAGAGACGAACCCATTAAAGAAAAATCAAAACCCAGAAGAACGCATCGATCACAGGACAAAAACAAAACAAACCCAATAAAACTCAGCGCCAAAAACACAGAACCCAGAAACCCATCGGCATAAAACCTAATGTAAACACAAAACCCATGCCGAAAAATAGCCCCCTTTACCTAAATACAAGAGCTTTTGCGCGGTCTCGTTGGGATCCATAGAGCACTCCCTGAGCACGGCGTAGATTTCATCGTCGCTATGCTGCTTCCCGGTCATATCCCTTATGTTCTGGATCGTGAGCTTTACATTGTCTGGGATTGAAACCCTAGTCTCCCCACCGCCGCTCATGTTCTGTTTTGCAGACAAGAGAGAAGAGAGAGAGAGAGAGAGAGAGAGAGAGAGAGAGAGGAGAGAGAGAGAGAGAGAGTGTTTTATTGGTGTATTTGTGAGGAGAGAGAGACTTTGGTGTGAGAGAAGAGAGAGAGGCAGCTCAAATAATAGGAGGAGGTATTTATAATAAAACCGAAAATAAAAAATATATTGGTGTGGGAAGGACTTGGGAAATTTATTGTGGGGCTTCGGCTGTACATGGAGAACCTTGGGAGATACGGATTTTGGATTTGTGTGTTGTTTTGCTGGGAAAGAAGGCAAAAGGGCAAAAAGGGTAAGGACTTAGAGAGAGAAAGTGACAGGAAAGAAAGGGCATGACTGGATGAGAGACAAGGTGAGATGTGTGTGTCTTTACGTTTTTGACCAAGGATTGAGGTGTTATTGGTACTTTGCAGAGATTTCATTGATTATATATTATTATATGTAATTTATCAAGTCGTGTTTTTATCACCTTGAAAATTTTCTTGAAGTTTTGGAGGAGGAAGTGAGGAAAGTAGATCTAGTTTGATGTGGGAGATTTACTTGTGGAGGTAGGGTCCCTAGCCCTAATTCTAGATATTAGAATTTTTATGATATTCTTGGATTTTTATCTTTATGTTTTTCTTGTGCATTCTAGATTTGATATAAATGGCTTACTAGTTAAAGGGTTGAATTATCTTAATGACTTATTACGTTATCCGTTTTAACTCACGACGGTTGAATGATGTGAATCTCGTAAAAAATTATTGTATCATAGTTGCTCTGTTGTGAGTGGATAACTTAAGCCAAAAAAATGCTTTGATGGAGTCTACACTAAAACATATGAGAATTTCAAATGATTTTGAATATTTTGCTTTCTGTTGTACAGTCTGAATTCGATATAAATGACAATTAATTAATTCATTGAATTTTGTCAACTACATATATTCACATGCCATAATGTTCGTGAAAACTCAAAACCGTTCATTGATATGAAATTATGAATATATGGAATGACAAATATAGGTCACAATTATCTATGCACGTGTGAACAATTATAATAGAAAAATTTGCTTAATATATCTACTCAATTAGTGTACTTACTGTATTTTTCATAGTCAATTAACATATATATATATAATGCAGATGATGCTATATTACAGCGAACAAAAATAATCATGCTTATGCATTATGGTGCGAATTCAATTACATTTCTCTTTGATTTTCTTTTCCTTAATAACTAATTATTTAACCTACTAATATTGTCAACGGACTAAAAACATATATAATAGTGTGGTGAAATTGTTTTTTGTTTGTTTGATTTTACTATTGGTTTTTCCTTTCTTGATGTCGGCCTTAGTAGGCATTTTCTTATTTGATGTAAGCCTCCATTGGTAAAATAAATTCACCGGACTTGAGGTTTGAAGTTCGATTTCTGTTTGTTTCAATATTTTACTATTGGTTTTTTCTTTCTTGATGTGGCCCTTAGTAGGCATTTTTTGAATTTGTTAGCTACCTACCACTAAGTATTAGTTAGCTATAAATAAGATTACATGACCAATAGCAAAACCTTTAATCCTTTTTTTATTTGTCGAACTAAATAAAATCCATTCCCAGAAAGATAGTACAAGATACAGAAGGCCTAAAAGGCAGTTCAAAGTAACTATAAGTACAAGCAAAGCTAAAATAAAGAAAATCAAGGGAAAGGCTCACAAGTAGCCGGCCCATAGCAAGAACAATCTAGATCTGGAGTACTATTTGCCTCAGCCAATTGCGCCTCCATCGCAAAGATGCCACCACCACTAAGAAGAAGAACCTACAAAATAACTGGATGAATGGAAAATGGTGATGAGCGGGTCACTCGTGCAAAAAGCATTCCTTAATCTTACTAAAATAGTGCTAATAGTATTTTCACAACCACCAAACACCAAGCGCACCGCCGAAGAGAAGCAACATGAGAGCTAAGTAACAGAGGTTGGTGGTTGAAGTTGAAGACTCGCGACGGAAATCAACATGAGCATGAGAGGGACATGAAAGTCCAAATCTGAGACAAACTAAAGGGAATTTAGACAAAGCTAAAAAATGTTGGAAAATTTAATAATAATAATATTATATTAAATTTATTAATTGAATGAAAATTAGAAGTTGAGTCTTTTGGTAGAAAGATATGTCTACTTAAATGAAGTGTTGCAACTTTTGACTCTTCATAAATAGTCACATGTTTTCCAAATAGGTATCTCACATTCTATAACTAGGGAAGCCCCCTATAATCACCAAAAGAACTTTTCATTGTTTTACATAATCATACATGTTGGAAATTTGAATAGTTTGAGTAGAAATTTCTTTGTCCCACATTGGCCATTCCCAAAAGATTTTATTACTTTATAAGGCTTTGTCCTTTATAGAAAGTGAATAATTAAATTATTTAATTAATTAATTTCGAATTTAATTAATTATTTATTTTTTACCAACAGACTCATTCTTTCAGATGAAGTTTGAAGAGTTCAGAAAGAACACAGAGCAAAACACATCCTTTCAGATGAAGTTTGAAGAGTTCAGAAAGAACACAGAGCAAAGCACCCCTCTGGAGAAGATGTCTCCCAACAGACACATCTCATTCTCATACCTGTTGCAAACATGCATCCTTCTATTATATATTCATCCATCTGCATGGCATTTAGGACACAGAAAATCAATATTCTTCTTCTACAATCATAAACATCCTTTATGAGAGAACCACACAGAAATTCGCCGGAAGTTAAATTTTCCGGTGCTGGAATTCTAACTTGATCGTTGAATCCTGGTGAAGCAGACGTCCGTAGGACTACAAGCACTGAGTAGGGACGAAATTTCTGTTTCAAGGACATTGCGGTACGCAAGCCTCGATCTTCAATTTTTCTGTTTAAATTTATTTCGTTGTTCATACTCTGTTCAATAATTTTTATATTCGCATTTATTGTTTATTAGCATATATATAATTAAATCACAGATTGTTGACATATATCCAACAATACATAAAGTGTACTAAATATCAGAGAGTCACATTGAGTCCATATGAGAGAGTTTTCAACACAATCGTGGTTCATGGAGCATTGTGATTTGAAGTGCTACTATTATAAGGATGTGGTCGTTGTATCTTGGGAGACATGCGCCGATCAACCATGAGCACCGTAGTGAGGCGTAAACTTGTCTTAAGGACAAAGTGTCCAACACTTGCCTCAACCATATTTTCTAGGTTTTTCTAGTTCATTATATCATATTTATTTAACATTGGTTACTCCATGCATTATTGTGATATATATATATATATATATATATATATATATATATATATAATTGCATGAATTATTTCTTGATTTTTCATGTGATTTAATATACCAATTAGACCCTATTTTTCTAACAAAAAAAAATCAAAAATAAAGGCCAAAGTAAAAAAGTCGGGCATAAACTTAAAAGGGTAACAGAGAAGGAGGAGAAGTAGGGTTGGTAAGGAAGACTGGAAGCGGGTTTTGCCACGGATCTCCACCCAAAGTAGTAGGAGTCGACGGCAAGGAGAATTAGGGTTTTGTGCTTTCGGTGAGATATAAAGGGGCAAGAAAAAATTGTAGTAATTAGCAAAACTGTTAATCCAACAGTCAATACAATAGCTCAAACAGAGTTGCCTATGAAACTCATTTGAGTACTTATACAAGGTAATTCTTAAGATCTTTAACCAAAAATAAAAAATAAATATAATTTGTAAGATCACTCTACTAATAAATTTGTAGAGTAAATTTTGTAAACTAAATGACATGAAAATTAATGAGTTGATTATTACTTAAATGTTGATAAACGTGCTCATTTTCGATCAGTGACACGTCATTTAGTTTGCAAATTTAATCTACAAATTTAATATCTCTAACATTACTCTTTTCAGTTGATAAGACATTCAACGAGAAATGCTAGCTCGTTTGAGATTACTTATGAAAGAAACAATAATGTTCCAAAGTATTCTTCACGAGAGACGCAATAAAAATAGTCATAAATATTAATTGGAAAAAAAAACATTTTTATACAGAAAATTTATTTTTCTCAAGTCTTAAACATAAGTGACAATTGTCACTTAATAGTACTGTCTAGTGGTAATCTTTTTTACTTATAAGTGAGAGGTCGTTCGATTCTCACCAAATGCGAGTTTGAACCACATTATTACTAGCTCATTGTGAGACTAAACTCACTTCCTCCCCTTAACATATATAATATCACTTGTCAAAAAAATAAAATAACAACATAAGTGGTAATCTGAGCAATGAGAGCATATTTCATTATCATCCCTTTACGTTGGTATTGCTGACTTAGGCCACTACAAGAGCAATTATTGACAATTTTTTAATCCCCATTTGGCAAATTGGATACAATGATTACGTATTGTTTTCCATCTGTTACACAGTTCATGCAAAAATTGGCATATTTATCTCTATAAAAGGATATATTATATTTATGTATCTTGACCAATTCACCCTTGGTTACAAAAACTAGAGACAAATTCTCTTCGGATCTCTGTATTCGGAGTTCAATGATCTAGAGATCCGGGCCGTTCAAGAGATCGAAAGAGAGGTCCAGACTTTTGATTTGAGTGAGGTAGGACAATGGAATAAACTAATGAGCACTGAGTTTCCGAATCCGTCAACTTCAGACACATAGTTGTCCAGAATGGATCTCAATTCCTAAAACTATATACCCAATTTGGTAGCTTAAAACAAATAGATTGCCTAGGACCCAAGGAGCAACTCTTGATTCAATAGATATATAAATAAATCTAAGGAAAACTAATGAAAAGGGTTTGAAAACTTTGAGTTCTAATGATAAGGACAAAATAAAGGGTAAAGTGAATAGTACTAGGATTGACTTTTTAGTGTAAAAATGTGGTTTTTCGTTAAAGTGAACAGTACCGGGAGCTTTTCGTTAAAGTTCCCATAAATCTATGCTTGTTTCGGCATGAAATGAGTTAGGGCTTCAAACAAACTATATTAGGAAAACATCGCAAGTTGCAACATTAAAAGACCTAAATTTATAAGGGAAATGTTATTGACATTTTAAAAATATCATTCTACACCCTTCACAAGTGTATT